TGGGGGTTGGGAGGGTCGGACAAGTATTTATCCCAAAAGGGTCCAGAGGTAAGTTTCAGTTTAGCCTCCAGGGTCCACGTGTGCTCGTTCACAGGCTACAGACGGGAGATGGGAGGGAGGAGATGGGACCCTGTGCTGACTTGACCCAAATACCTTGAATGAGACACTAAAGATTTCTGCTTAATTATTATAGAGACAGTATGTATGAGAGATTTATTTTCAGAGAGGGGCCTCACCAGATGTGTATATGTGAAACATAACTGGTAATTATGCAAAGAATACAACAAAGTGAGGACCAATTCTAGCAGCAGACACGGGAACCTGAGTGGTCCTGGAGAGTGTAGAGGGGAAAGAACCCGTAACCACCTGGAGTGGGACAGGGAGGTGTGGGGACTGGGGAACATACTGTGTGCAAAGCATTGAGAATGACAGTGTCTTAAGGGTTTGAGAGGCATGTGTATCTCAGCAGTCAGGAATGAGGCATAGGCGGGGCCTTCATCCTGGAATTAGGGACTGTGCTCTGACTTTACACAGTCATTTAAAATCACAGTATTGGGGAGTCCCACCATAGTCATGGGGGTACATTCAGTGACCTGCTGAGCTGCAGGGACCAGCTGGGCTCCACAGCCTTTCGGAAACATAGAGATGTGTGTCCTGTAAACACCAGGGGGCGCTGTGGGACTTTGCTGTGGTCCCCAGCTGATCAAGGAGGACTGTTCACTCATTGGGGCCTGGGTTTGCAGGCTGAGCTCTGTGCTCACTGCTGGAGACTCAGCATCTGTGTCCTCTGTGGCCTGGCAGAGTCCCCTGAGGAGGAACCTTTGTGTGGTCTCAGCAGGTGCTTTGTCCCAGGGCTCTCCCAAGGGGTGAAGCCAACCTCCACCCCCTTCAGTCTTTGGTGTGACCTGAGCTCTGGACTCATAGGAGGACTCAGGGAGGGGCTGGGCAGTCCCTGGATGGACACATATTTGCTTGGATGGCCCAGCCTGTGGCAGAAGGTGGGAATGAAAGGAGGCCTGGGGCAGCATAAGAAGTTGGTCTGAGGTTAAGGAATCAAATCTAGGGGTCATAGCAGAGCCGTCCCATTCCTTCCAGGACCTGAGGCACCCTGAGTCCCTGAGACAAGGCACTGCAGGTGCTGTGTGAAGATGCAGGTCTGGGAGGAATCCAGGCCAGAGCTGTTCTGGCACTTACGCAGGTACGTGAGTTGTGATGTCAGGGAGAAGGGTGTCAGGCAAGAAGAGGCGTGTAGACTGAGGGCCTGAGGACATGAAACTCCTATATGGGACATGAGAGGATGAAGAACAGACCCCAGTGTTGCTGGGAAAACTGTGAGCCTGCTCCAGGAAGGTGGGCAAACTGGGTCCCTGGGTGTGAAATTTCTACAGCTCGTATCTCCAAGAATCCATAAGAATTGACGTGAGGGGTGTTTCCTGAGTCCACAAGAGCTGGAGTGTGTCTTACGTTCTCCTCATATCCCATTGTAGCTTTTAACCAACACAAGTTCACAGGTGGACGTTGTAATATCAGGGAGCACAGCCTCCCCAGGGTGTGCACCAGGAGACTCCAACCAGGAACGTCCTGTGGAAGCTCTCACCAGGGGGGCAGCAGAGTCACTGTGGGCGTCTCTGACACGGGCCCAGACCCCCAGACAGAGCCCCTAAGTGCATGACCTCGGACGCATTGCAAACCCTCTCCAGTTTCAGCCTGATTCTCTAGAGTCAGGTCAGTGCACACACCCTCCATGACCACACAGGGCTGCAGCCTGACAAGGAACCAGGCTGGTGGTCATGGTCAAAGGAGCTGAATACAACCCAGTGACCGAGGAACAGGCAGTCCATGGAAAGTGTGAGAACATCTGTTCTCCATTTCCCTCATTAAAATCGCCACACATCTGCTCCTGCCTGTGGGCAGCACCAGCTGAGATTTGGATTCTCTGTCCCTGTGCTATTGAAGCTACAGGGACTGATGCTTCTGACTCACTCCACCTTTAGGAATGCCACAAAAATCACTCCTGTTCTTCCTGCTCGTCCAATGAAAAGAACATTTCTTTGTCACCAGAAGCTACAATACCTCCACTCTCATGCTGACTGGGAATGGCAGAGACAATCCCTGCTTGTGAGAGCCAGGTGTTTCAGGACCCCACAGCCCAGTCCCATATCTGTGCCCTGAGTCTGGCCCAGGATGTGCTGATGAGTCCTTGAGCTCTGACATCTGCACACAGCAGAGCATCCACTTTCTCCTGAGGTCACATCCTTCAGTAACTTCTGGTTTCTCAGGCACAGGAGGGACACTGTCCCTTTAAGGCCCTGAGTGGCAAGCTCATACCTTTTACCAGTACCCAGTTTAATAACACAAATCTTAATTGTTTAAAGGTTTTTAAAAATAAATCAGTTTATTGGCATCTAAAGCCTATGAGGCAACCCTAAGTTCCATCAATTTTCTAAAACACAAGGAAATTTCAAGAAAGCTCTGGTTTTTCTTCAAGGTCAACATTGAAGGAATTTTCACACAAGTTGATTATGACTCAGTGTGGAATGAGGCCATTACATTGAAAAGGAGAAGCTATAATCACAAAAGAGATGTTTATAGTAAAGGTGTTGATTTCAATCTTTAGAATGAACATAATTTTAAGATTAGACTGAAAAAGGGTACAGGGAAAAGCATCATGAATATATAATATAGGCAAAAGAGGAAAGAAAGAAGTATCAGAATAGCACTGAAAGGGACATGACGGGCTGGAGTGGAGAGCAGGAGGACACTTTCTCTCTGACAGTGTTGATTGTAGTGACCAAGAGGGACACAAGCCTACAGTACCTGGGCACTAGGGCTGGGACTCAAACAGCAGTGTCTCCAACACACACCAACAACACAATGTCATCGAATTAGTGTAAATCCCATAGACTTTCTGTCAGTGTGAACCAGCAAAGTGCAGTGTAGGTTTTGAGCCTTGAACTTGGATTAAGAAGTTCTTATATGTGAAATGGCATCACACAAGCAGAAGGAGCAAGAGGACATGTCAAGAGAACTGGAAATATCTGGCAACAGAAACACGGTGAATGCGTCCTGCATGTAGCCGCCCGGAAGTCATTGGTTATCAGGAGACAATAATGTCTTAGTTCCCAACCCATGGAGAAACCCACTCATCCTTCTATTCCTGGCAGTCACACCCCAAGGGCCCCAGTGCCAAGTCAGATTGCCCTGCAGGAGTGCGGGGTGTGGTCCAGGGGCTGTCGGGCCCTAGATCAGAGACCAGCAGTGGGCACTGTGGGGCTGGTCCTGCCAGTACCAGGTTAGGAAAAGGCCAACAAGGGAAATGGGATCAGTGTGAGCCTGACTAAAATAATTGATATCCAGCTCTAATTCAAATATACCTGGGACCAGAGTTCATTACTTATTCAATTTATAACATAATGAAGATACCAGGTTTTTGGAAAGGGCCCTGCCTGATTTCACAAGCTGTAATCCCTCATGACTAAGGCTGAGTAAAGGATTTTGGGACCATAAGCTTATGTCCCATAAGCTTTTGTCATGGTGGGACCATTAAGGAGACAAAGCTTATCTCCCTGGCAGGGGCATCGCCCCTGCCCCCTTTCACCTCACCCTCCTGGCCCTGGGGGGATGACTGGTTAGCCAATGATGGGTAAGATTCCTTAAAAGAGGGAAGACCTAAGACAGGCATGGTCAGGAAGGGGCCCTCAGGGAAGGGCTTGGGGGTAGAGAAAAAGATGGTGATGGACCCTCACCCCTTGGCTCTGACATAGCCTGAGTCATTTTTCTGTCTACAAGAAGTCTCTAGTCTCTTGGCTGTCTTAGTTCCCCTACCCGACTGAAGCCTGAAACAATGCCAGAGATGGGTGTGGCCCTGTGCTCCAAAGGGTGGGTTCCCCAGGGAGGTCAGGCCTAAGGAAGAATGCATAAAATGCTATGAAACCTGCTTTGCTAATACCCTCTTTTTAAATCATAAGGGTCCAAGTGTAGAAGGAGATTCTCCAAAGTTTTATGGCCCATTAGCTATCTCCTCATAGTTCTTTGACTGTTATCTATTGTTTGATCATTACTGCCTGACAATGAATGATGAGCTTTACCTAGATACCCTGTATTTCTGTGCAAATAAACCCAATAAAAGCTCATTGGGGAACAGGCTCCTGGTCCTTCTCCTTTCAGAGATGGGCCACCATTCCTTCCCAAGCAGGTGATGTCTGGTAGACTTATTCTCATCCACAGTGGATAGGAGGGCTCTGCTGGCAAAGCCCCACACACCAGAGAATAGGTAAAGCTTGGCCAAAATTATATGCATAAAAACATACTTATTGTCTGCTGAAAAAAAGGAAAGAATTGAAAGAATGTATACATTTTGTGCCTTGGAGAAATAGTGATTCATTTCTAACAAGAGAGGAATCACAGTAAAAAATAAAAGTGTCCTGAAAATAGGTTTTACATTGCCATGGAACAGTCACTGGGCCTGATCCCACTACAGGGAAGATGACGTGAGTGAAAGCAGCAGAGTAATGCTGACCATGTAGCAGCCGAGGGACACATGGAGTGACTCACCCTGAGGAGTCTGAATAGGACATGAAAGTGTCCTGTAGTGACGGGGACGCCCCCATAAGGGGGCACCGGGACCGCCCTTAAGGGAGCAGGTCAGGGAACAGGGCTGTGGGGAGGCAAAATCTGTCTGTGATGGGCCTCAGCCAGCATGTCACACGATAGTGTGTCTATGTCTGGGCACCAGGGGGCACTCAGGGGCTGTTTCTGAAGGTCTGGGGTAATCAGGGCTGGAACCTGTGACTTGGCACTGCCTTGTGCCCTCTGCTCAGGGCACACGGCTATGACCTTGCCACGCCCTGGCCCACAACCAGAATCACCCCTATCCTCCCTGAAATCCCCAGGCACAGGTACCTGCTAGAGGGCCCAATGAAGGATCAGAAATTGGGAGGAACTTATTTGCATGAGTGGGCCCTCCCTCTCCCAGAGTATGAAGAGGGGAAGGGTGAGGTTTGGGGAGGCTCTGCTTCAGCTGTGGGGTCATAGAAGGCAGGGCTCAGGGATGGTCTCCACCATGGTCTGGTCCCCTCTCCTGCTCACCCTCCTGGCTCACTGCACAGGTGACTGGATAAGGGGACAGGGGAAGAGCCCTGGAAAGGACACTTGGGGGTCTTCTTTCTGCTCCTGTGTCTCTACCCAGAATCACCATGTCTGTGTCTCCCTCCTGCAGGGTCCTGGGCCCAGGCTGTGCTGACTCAGCCGACCTCAGTGTCTGGGAACCCAGGAGAGACCATCACCATCTCCTGCACTGGAAGCAGCTCCAACATCGGGGGTGTTTACTATGTGTTCTGGCACCAACAGGTCCCAGAAAAACCCCCTAAAACCGTGATCTATGATACCAGCAGCAGACCCTCGGGGATCCCCGACCGGTTCTCTGGATCCAAGTCTGGCAGCATCGGCACCCTGACCATCACTGGGCTCCAGGCTGAGGACGAGGCCGATTATTACTGCTCAGCATGGGACAGCAGTATCAGTGCTCTCACAGTGCTGCAGGGCCATGGGGAAGTGAGACAAAAACCTGCTGTCCCCTGGGGTTGGGGTTTGTGTTCCCATTCAAGGCACATGCCTAGGTCATCAGTTCGATCCCTGGTCAGGACAGGTGCAGGAGGCAACAGGCCATTGTTTCTCTCTCCCATTGGTGCCTCTCTCTCTCCCCCTTGCTTCCTCTCCCTGTAAAGTTAATAAGCATGTCCTCAGGCAAGGATAAAAAAAGGACAAGTGAAAAAAGATAGTCATGTTGACTTGCAAACCTTACACCTTAAAGTGTCAATATTGTGTTGCTAATGACATGTCCACAGTGATATGTCAACAGCACCCTGGTCATAGACCCGGTTTCCTCTGTCCCTGGAGCAGCCAGCACAGGTGAAGGGACCCAGGCCCTGCACACTGTCCCTCCCCTCTTCTGCTCCCTCCCCCCTCCTCTCTCCCTCTGGCTCTGTGGGACTCAACTCCATCTCCACTTTAATTTTCAGGAAAAAGGACAAGTTCCTGCTGGAGTTCCGTTCCCCAGGGCTCTGTCTCTAGGGAGGGTAGTTAACTTCATTAGATGAGCGTAAGTTCACTTCATAAGTTCACTTCTTAAGTGTTTCCTACTCTCAACTCCCAGGTGTGTCATCCACTCTCCACCACCCACAGCCAATCTCTGTAATATGACATGTAATTACTGCTTCCTTTAAAAGATGTGAGCATCCACCTTTGAGTACTTGTGATAGGTGACTGAAAACTTGGAAAATTTTAGTTTAACATAAACAGTTATAAGCCTAATAAGTAATGCATATGTTAAAGCTTTTGTTTCAGAAACTACAGAGAAGGCCCATCCTGGCTCCTGGGAGAAATTGACCTCCTGGGGCACTGCGGCCGACCACCGCCTGGGGGCAAGGGGAGGCATCCGGGCCATTGTGTTCCAGAGAGAGACAGAGGACCACTAGTCCCAGGGAACAGCTAACTGCCCAGGACAGGAATGTTGCAGTTTCTCTCACCCAATGCTCCTTGAATTTCAAAACCCCTCCTCATACCTTGTTTATTCCCTGTTATAAAAACGTTGTCCTGGAAAGGAAATGTGAGAAGGTTCTTTAAGGGTGCCAACCCGCCCTCTCCTCAGATCACTGGCCGTCTGAATAAAGCCCAATAGAGATTCAATCTCTGTCTCTGCTCCCTGGGTTCCGAGGTGACAGGTAGCAGGAGGTCTGGTGTCTTTTCTGGGTTCACTTGCACAGAGAAGCCACTGGCAAATTTATTGCTCATCCTGAAACACACTGTCAGTCCCCATGTCACAGACAAAGGCAGGGTGGGCTGCCCAGTTCAGAACACGCGGACGTTCCTCCTCCTGAGAATACGTGTCCCTGGGAACGTCAGACCTGCCTCAGTGGGTGATTGTGATGACGGGGCACAGGACTAGGTTCTATAGGGCGTCAGAGACTTGCTCTCATAACAAGCACGGTCAGCCTGGGACCCTGCAGCAGCGGGCAGATTTAGGATGTTTGCTCAACTGTGAGGGTGTCTGTGGGGATTCACTGAATAAAAGGTTGTCTGGTCTGAGAGCCCCTGGCCAGCCTGGGAAATGACAGATGAGTTGGGGTAACTTCCTGAGGGACTGTAAGAACATGACTAACTTTGACCTTAAGAACTGTGTTGCAATTTCTCTAATACATCAGAGTTGTAACCCATACTGTGGGGTCAGGCTGTTCTCCTCTCTGAGTCCCATTCAGCACAGCACCCACCCACGCTGTGCTTGTTCCTTCTGCTGTCATCTCCTGCCAGCTGCCCCTGAATGTGCCCTTGCTGATTCCTGTCTCAAGCTCTGCCCTAGGACTTCCAGCAGTGCTGAATCCCTAAGGCATGAGGATGATTATAATGAATGCAGCTCTGAGGACAGGTTCAAGTGCAATTTAAAATGTCCCAGCATGTGGGTCAAAGTTGCAGGCAGGCCCCACAGTGATTCCCAAGGACGCCCAGGCCCTGCCCTCTCCCCAAACCCCCTGTTGTTTAGTTGCTCCATTCAGATCAGCTCCATGGGGGTGCGGACTCCCCCCCACCCTGCTCTGCAAGGGCCAGTGTTCTGTTCCTTCTATGTCCTCCTCTGTGAAGGTCTCTGTGCCCCTGGTGAGCTCCTGTTCACACTCAGCACCCAGAGCAAGTTCCCTCCTCAGGGCCCTGCATGGGGACAGGTCCACTTTGCTCTCAGATCCAGGCCCTGTGTTCTCTGCCCCACAGTGGTCCCCACACTCTCCTCAGCAGGATTCTGTGATGCTTGCCCTGGCCCACCACCCATGGAGGAGGCTCAAATTCGTGATGCTCATACCAAAAGCGCCCCGTGTTGTCCCTGTAGGGGTTACTCTCCTGTATTAGAAAGAGGGGAGTCAAGTAAGCAGGGGAAAGTGAGGAGTTGGAGTGGTTTAAAAAAACCAGCAGGGGTCGCTGTGAGACTGTGCCCTGTCTGCTCTTACAGGATCAGCTGGGCTGGCTGGCTGTTTACTTCCTGGGAGGACTGGGCAGGTGCGTCCTCTGTGGGCATGTGAGTCCCCTGCACGTGGGCCTGAGTGTGGTTCCAGCAGATGCTTCCCCCCGACCCACCCACAGGGAAACCAGCACATGAGCCTGGCTGTGAGGGCAAGGGCCACAGACCTTGTCAGTACCCCTGGGGGATAAGCTCTGGGTGGGGACACATTTACATAGGCAGCCCCTTGTCTGTGATCAGGGAGGGGATAAGAGAGGCCTGGGCAGTCCAGCCCCAGCTCTGTGGCCTGAGAACAGCCTGTGCTCACCATGGCCTGGACCCCTCTGCTCCTTGCGCTCCTCTCTCACTGCACAGGTAGGGACGGGCCTCAGAGACCAACCCAGAAGGACTGCACCCTGACCCTTCTGTTCACTCCCACGTGTCTGTGTGTCTGCAGGTTCCCTGTCCCAGCCTGTGCTGACTCAGCCGCCCTCTGTGTCTGCATCTCCTGGAGCCACAGCCAGACTCACCTGTACCCTCAGCAGAGACCTCAGTGTTGGTGGTAAAAGCATTTACTGGTACCAGCAGAAGCCAGGGAGCGCTCCCAGGTTTTTCCTGTACTACTACTCAGACTCAAGCAAGCAGCTGGGACCTGGGGTCCCCAGTCGGGTCTCTGGGTCCAAAGACACCTCAGCCAACGCTGCACATCTGGTCATCTCGGGGCTGCAGCCTGAGGACGAGGCCGACTATTACTGTCAGGTGTATGAAAGCAGCACTTTCCACAGTGACAGAGACACATGAGGAAGTGTGACAGAAACCCAGGGCCTCATTCTGTCCAGCTTCTGATACATTCAAGAGGCGGTAAAAAAATTACTGATAATAACAAAAGACCTAAGCCCCGGGGTGTCTGGTTTAAATGAGGCCACACTATAGCCCCTTCCCATTTTATATAAAATGGTCACAATCACCCTTAAACATTAAACAAACTAAAATGTATACCAACATAATAAAACAATGACAGTCCTAAACAAGCAGAATGACAACACATTTTCAGTAGCAAAATGCCTGGGGAACAGAAGGTGAAATCCATGATGGGGCCATCCACAGTGCCACAGGGTGTCTCAGGGAAGATCATTGTGTCAGTGTGTGTGTGTGGGTGTGAGTGTGCGAGTGTGTGAGACTGTGTGACAGAGACTGACCAGATGATTGTCACAGCCCCCGACCTTGGCCTTGTTTGTCGAAAGGGAAAGCTAACCAGAGAGAAACTTCCCGACTGTGCTTACTGCACAGAGAGCAGGTCACAGATCAGCGGGGTCACCCCAGGGACCAGCCGGGGGGCCAGTGTGTGAGACATGCTGTTCTGTGAATGCTTTTAAGGAAGATAAAGTGACATCATTCAGTCAAGCTTAATTAAAAGACAATAGCCGATAAACTGAGGAAATGCATATGCAAAACCACATCTATAATAGAGGCTTCTATTAGTAATATACAAAGAACTCCTACAATTCAAAATTAGAAGGCAATTGGATCAAATAGAGGTGGACACCTCACTATGATGGCAAATTAGGACCTGGCAGTATGTTCGGCATCATTGCACGATATGGAAATAGAAATTGAAGCAAGAATATTGCTACACATGTAGCAGAGTGGGCGAACGAAAATGCCTCCCCATGCCAGCATGGAGGGTGCGTGGCCCCGTACCTCTTGAACACTGGTGGGGAGTGGGCAGTCGAAAAGACCCTTTGGAAATCAGCTTGGAAGTTTCTCATGAGATTGAACATACATCTCCCCTGTGACCCAGCCATTGTATTTACCCACAAAAACAAAATGCACATCCATGCAAGGACATGTCCACAGAGATGCACTGCGATTCTATTCATTCATAATGTACATGATTTGTGACCAAATTTATATTCATTCATTAATATTAAACATTTACATCATTGATAATTACATCGCAACACACAAGTATAAGTTGATGACTGACCGATTTACAATGTAAACAACACTGTATGCACGATCGTCCCAGGGCGGACACGACCCACATGCCTGTCAGCCGGCGATGGACCAGCACACTGCGGGAGCTGTGCAGTGGGACGCTCTCCAGCAAGGAGCGATCTGTGTACGTACAGATCATGCCAGACCCCAAAGAACGCTAAATGAGGGAAACAAGAAACACAGGGAAAATAAGATTCCATTTCTATACAAAGCTAGGACATGCAAACGATGAAAGGAACACCAGGTGATTGGTTAGAGATCGGGGAGGGGGTGGCAGGAAGGAGAGACTTCAAAGAGGGCACGTGGACATCTTTGAGGGGGAAGATGTATTTATTATCTTGATTGTGGGGATGGATTCACAGATATACACACGTGTGAGGAGTTAGCACATAATATATTTAGTTATAGGATGTTGATTGTAGGAAAACCGTACCTCATTACAGTTGTCCCCTAAACACCTCTGTCCCTGCCCTCTGACTGAGACAGCTCTCTGCAATCTGCCTACATTGCTGTTCTCTGCCCAGCAGCCTCCATGCCACCAGGCCAGTGCCATGGGCGCCTGTGTGGTCTGTCACCTGTTCCACACACACATGCCGTTTCATGTTGCTGAGTGTCTGCAGAATCTGCTAAACCCTTAAGAATCCTCACATCTTCTCAGAATATTGGGCCCTTTGTTTGGGCACCAGCCGCACCCTCACTGGCCATTCAGACCCAGCTCAGCATAGTCTCCTCCCTGTGTCACCTCCGGCTTTGCTCCCAGAGTCCTCTGAATGCTCATCTCCTCCAGGTCTGCCTTGGACACGGGTCACGTGTCCATCTTGCTTACTCGCAGTGGCCTAGGAACTTACTCCACGGGGAGGGCTGTTTATTAATATCAGCTACCTGGGAACACCACAGGGGTTGTGGCCCCCGGATTCTGCTAAAATGACAGCGACCCCGCCATCAGGCCCACATCTCTGACAGCATTTCCACACACAGACAGAAGGTTGAAAGGTGGACAACAGGGGCACAGTGGGCCTTCCTCGGCCCATGGGTGCTGCCTGGTGTGCAATCTCCCCAAGTCCCCAGGGCTGAGGCCACGGTGCCTGTTTGCTGTTGGGGACTCAGCAGCTGTGTTCTCAGGGCTGGGCACAGTCTCCTGATCACTAGTCTGTGATCAGGAGACTGTGAGAGTCCCAGGGGCTGCTTCCTCCCAAGTGCCTTCTATGAGGAAACTCGGAGACCCACCCTAAGGCTCCAGTCTGTCTATAGAAAGAAACTCAGACTTCAGGGACAGGATGTCAGGGTGGTGCAGGTTCTCCAGCAAGGGAAGCAAATTTGTGTGAGTAGCCCCTCCCATTCAAGGCCAGTGAGGAAGATAAAAGAAGCTGGGAAGACAGAGCTCCAGCTCCTGGCACCCAGCTCTGCTCTACACACCATGGCCTGGACCCCCGTGCTCCTCCTCGTGCTCCTCTCTCACTGCACAGGTAGGGACAGGCCTCAAGGACACAGAGCACCTGCACCCTGACCCTTCTGTTCCCACTGATGTCTCTGTGTTTGCAGGTTCCCTGTCCCAGCCTGTGGTGACTCAGCCGCCCTCCCTCTCTGCATCTCTGGGAGCCACAGCCAGACTCACCTGCACCCTCAGCAGTGGCTTCAGTGTTGCTGACTACGACATACGCTGGTTCCAGCAGAAGCCAGGGAGCCCTCCCCGGTACCTCCTGAGGTACAAATCAGACTCAAACAAGTACCAGGGCTCCGGGGTCCCCAGCCGCTTCTCTGGATCCAAAGACACCTCAGCCAACGCTGGGCTCCTGACCATCTCTGACCTGCAGCCTGAGGACGAGGCTGACTATTACTGTAATACGTGGCACGATAGCAGTAAAACTTACACTGTGCTCCAGAGTCACGGGGAAGTGAGACTAAAACCCTCCCTGTGATCTTTCTGTCTGTGGCTGTCACTCCTGATCTGCCTGGGACCAAGTCCTACTCAGGGTGTCATTTGTTGTCACTTCTTCAGTGAGCAACTGTTTTCCCAAGACTCATGGGTGTGTGATGTTTTTTCTGATTCACTGTAGTTAAAAATTTTGTTTCTTTCTTGTTACTATCTTCTCAGCCTGCTCATGTGTACACAGTCCTAAATCAGGTCTCAGGGCTACATAATCCTCCAGGGGCGTGTTAGACAAGGAAGGAGGTGGTTGAACCCTCCTGTGCCCAGCCCAGGGTCTAGGCCTGGATCAGAGGCCTGAGTGGGCTGAGAACTTCTGATGGTTCAGGGGGTCAGTATGCCCCAGGCCCACCTCCCAGGAAACTGTTCTAAAAGTGAGTGCAGTGCCATCTGCCTCTGCTCATTGTGGCCTCTTTCTGGAAAGTGTTCTCTCCTTCCGGGGCTCAGGGGAAGCAGGTTTCTCTGGCTCTGGGATGCTGAGCCAACAGGATCTCGTCCTCACTGAAATATGATTGTGTGTGACCTTTCCGTGGGCACCAGGATATGAGCAAAGGGCACTGTGGGTGGCTCAGTTGATGGGAGCATCAACCTGTGCACCAGAAAGCTTGTAGGTTTGATTCCCGCTCAAGGGACATACTAGGTTTTCAGTGTTTGTACATGAGGCAACCAATCAATGTTTCTTTCTCACATCAATCTTCCTCTCTCTCTGTCTTTCTCGATCTCTCCACCCCCTTTCCTCCTGGATGCTTCTCCACCACTAAGGCAGCATCTGTAATCTTGATCTTTCTCTTCTGCCCACCATGAGAAGGGTCATGCCCAGATGTCCGTGAGGCTGAAGACAGGCAGAGTTTGGGGACACTGGAGAAGATGCATCTGATAAAACATCTGAATGAGGACCGGAGATGTATAGGGGTGTTATGTCACACAGTAGTGGGTCAGGAGTTCAAACTGGGGACAATCTTTCCCTGGCCTGGAGTCTTCCTCTCTTCACCCTTCTCTCTGCACAGGTGAGCAGCTCAGGGGCTCCTGGAAATCGCCCCTTGGGAGCACATCCCTGTTCCTCCTTCCCATCCCCTAGGACAGGTGTGGCTCTTTCTGTGGCTTCAGATCCTACTTGTGTAAAACAACTGTCTGTAGGTGGCTCAAATATTCCTCTCAGTGTGGCCTGACCTGAGCTGGCCATGATGCCATCTGGGCTACCCCAGGGATCTCACTCTCTCGAGTCTCCAGGTGCCATGGACTCAGGTTTGAGTCCCAGCCCTGAGTCTCCCTGAACTGCTGCTGACTGTCCTCTGTCCTGTGTCCCTGCACCACCTGTCACCCACTTCATCATCACAGACAGGGCCTCTGGGGGGTGGGGTGCAGTGCTTCTCTAGGACTGGGACCCCAAATCCATCCAGATGCCTCAGGCTGCAACCACATCTGATAATCACAAGGCTCAGGAGAGCACAGGAGGGCTGTGTGTGCATCTGCCGAGCCCACTGTTGTAAATGTCCCCAATGAAGCCTGATGAGGGGGACACCACAGGACACTGGGGAGTTTGCATTTGGAGGTGAGGCCAAATGAAGATGGCCACCCATCTGGATTCTGAGTTTGGTAAGCTTGGACCAGCTGAGTTTTACTTGCTTGTCTGGGGACCCTATTTATGGCAGCAATTGACATGGATCGTGTGGTGATGAGCTTTTGTCCAGTATCACAGGATTCCTGCCCCCTTAAGTAATACTGGGAGATACCAAATAAAGATCAGTTTTGATCTCTTTACTGCTCCATATGATTAGAAACACCTTTTGGGTTTTAAATTTATAAAGACACTGACAAAGCACTGTCTTGCCTGCCTCAGTTCTCCCAGCTGGAGCAGTGAACAGCTCAGGGGATTCCTGGAGAATTTGAGGGTGAAGCCGGTGTAGCAGATCTTGACCAAAACCCCAACACCACCCTCAGAGTGGCTTTTAACTGGACGTCATTTTGTGTGACATACACACTTGGAAGGGTATTCAGTGCTTTAAAAAACATGACTCCATCACTGGCACCAATAGGCAAAGCCCAAGGAAGGAGAGAGTCTTAGAAGACAGACAGGGGTGGGGTTCAGGGAGTGACACTCCCTGTCAGGTGGGTCCACAGCCCCTCACAGGGGCCACTCTGAGCCTCTATGAGCCACTGGTCTGCGTGCACGTTTAGGATCCACCTCCTTTTGTTTTAAGCTTTAACCTCTCCCTCAAGTCAAGAGAGGTAGTCTGTTGAAATAACTTGACATTGTTGTGAAATCTAAGATTCCAGAAACTCACAATTTTGCAGGGATCCCACAGGTGCATCCTGGAAAAGACAGAACAGTCTCTTCTCTTTCCTCTGTGAACAACTATTCCAGGGCCTGTAACCACTGAGATCCAGAGTGATGAGTAAAACAGTTCAAATCATGGGTCTCCTCCTTCATTTCTCAGGGTGGGGTAAAATAATTGGAGGATTGTAACGAGGATCCTGCAGGGGACGCTGTGGGGCTGTCCTAAGGAGAAGAGGGGTCTGAACTCTTCATTCTGGGAAATGCACTTGGATGCTCCAGGGATGCGATAAAAATAATTTTTTACTTGAAGGATTTTAAAATCTCTTCTTAATTACAACCAAAACCAAAAATATGCCAATTGTGTAGTTACGGTACTGTATCTACTTCATCCTGGCCACAGAAGATTTTCTAAGCAAGAAAAATTATGTGGACTACCAGCACATACGTGAGATATTACCTGTAGTTTGGGGATTGAATGTGGGTGGGGCACTGGGCCAAACAGACACAATCAGTGGGACTGGTGTCCAATCTGGGATTTTTAAAATAAGTAGGAGTGAGATGGTATTTGGTTGATGGGCACAATGTTGTAATAACAGGTAAAAACACAAAGAGGGGGGTATCAGTCATGCCAATGAAAGGGAAAAGGTGCTTTGGGCCTTGCATTGGGTCAGTGGAGTGAGGACAGGCACCAGGAGGAGCTCCTTAGGAAGCAGTAGGAGAGCTGCAGAGGCAGGCAGGGGCCAGACTGCCGTGATGACTTCTGCTGAGAAGGAGAAGCATAGTCGCAGAAGGACCCTCAGTGGGAGTGACATGCACACATTGGTGTCTGCTCACTCCATTTCCAGCTGGTAAGAGAACACAGTGAGCAGGGCAGGGAGACAGGTGAGGGCCTGTCTGTCCCATCCTGGAGGAGAAGATAGTGGCCAGATCTAGGTGAGTACAGTGAAGATGAAGACAGTAGAGAAGATTCCAGATGGTTTCTCTGGGAAAAATGCTGGCCTAGGGTTTTGCCTGTCTGTTCAGTGTGGGGTGTGGATGGGTCTAGGACGGCTCCATGTTGCTGGTTGGGATGTGGTTGGATGACCATGGTCGTATGCAAGAGGGACAAACATGTGGAACCGTGGGTTAAGAACAGCGAATATTTGTGTTTTCATTTCTATTCACAGACTTATTTTTTTTAAGTTAAAATGAATTACTGAGCCACAAATAAATGTCATCATGCTCCAGACAACTAGTGCTACAATAAGGGAACAAGAAACTGTCATGGCCGTGGGCACCCTTTGGTTTCTGTGTGGTCCCTGTGTCATGTAGTGACGTGGTGTTTTCTGTGACTTACTCAGAGGGAAGCACTGAGACTTCACAGGAACACAGTATGTACTTGTGATGTTACTAAGTGACAGTGGACATGGCTGGATGGAAAAATGTATGCATGTTTATATATATTTAAATGTATGCAATTCATAAAAATAGCATTATTACCACAGACATTGATTAGGGTAAGGCACTGGGGACATAGCTGTGTTGATATTTCTGTAGTGGGGAGAATACAAGTCTCTTACACAGTGGGGTCTGGAGAAGGTGTGTGGAGTGAGGCATGTGGGCAGTGTGGGAGGCACAGACAGGGCACCGGGGATGTCAGTGTCATCATACTAAACACTCCGTAGCAAATTCAACACTTCTGTACATCCCCAGAGATCCAGCCCTGTTCTGCAGTGCAGGCCACATTTGGTGCAAGGGGCCCATTCACCATGGTGGACCACTCAGGGGCTGTGGGGACCTGTTTGCATCCTGGGGGGGGGGAGTGCTGTGACCGTCTCATGTGGATGCTGTCAGGGGGCCGAGCAAGAAGAAACCAGATCTCACTTCTGAATGATTCTGGTCTCTTCCTGGAGACGTCTCCTGCGACTGATTATCAGTGGACCCAGGCCCCATTCCAGGTGACGATGGGACAATTGATGAGGTTTATGGTACTGGGACACCATGGTGGGAAGTAAAGTGTGAGGAGAGAGATAGGAGGCAGTCTCCCTGAAATAGAGGATGTTGAAGGGTCTTCATGCCCTCGGGCTGGGTGGAGGACACGTTCAGTTGAGGACTCAGGCACCTGTATGGTCCCAACAATGTAATTATCTAAAGGGAAGGAGGAGCAGGAGGAGGACCTCATGTTGAAAAGGTCACGTCTTTAGAGGAAGGAGTGAGGGGTGGGGACACCTGCAGCACTGTGAGGGGCCCTGGGGATGGAGGAGCCCCTGCCCAGTGGGTGGGTGGGGTGCCAGGCAAGACTGCAGTCCAGTCCTCACTCTTCTCTGCTGAGCTCCTGCCTCTCCATTCCAGTCCTAAGTGAGTCTGGACTCTGAAACAGCAGGGGGCGCTGTGGGCCCATCCCTGAAGGTCTGTGAGGGATCTCAGCTGGGAAACCAGGGCCTGAGTCTACTGCCCTCTGCTCTGTGCTCATTGGGTGACATCTCAGGACCTCCTCTCCCTGTGAGGCTTCTGCAGCCCCCACCCCCTCAGTTTTCACCAGTTTTATCCCCAGGGGCCCAAAAGGAGGAAACAATTTGCATGAAGGGTCATTTCTGCCCTCCCAGGAGAGGAGAATATAAGAGAGACTTTGTGTGGTTCTCTCCCTCATGGGCTCAGAGCAGAGTGTGGGCACCTCCACCATGGCCTGGACCCCTCTCCTCCTTGTTCTCCTTGCTCACTGCTCAGGTGACTGAGGGGAACTGGTGTAGTGACAATGGGACGCACCTTGGTCACCTTTTTCCTCTCTGACTGAGAACACGCTGTGGGAAATAACCTCATCTCACATCTGTGTGTCTCCACTCTTCTGTTCCAGGGTCCTGGGCACAGTCTGGGCTGACACAGGAAGCCTCGGTGTCAGGGTCTGTGGGACAGAAGGTCACCCTCACCTGCACTGGAAACAGCTACAGTATTGCAATTTTTGGTGCAGCCTGGTACCAACAGGTTCCTGGTGCTGCCCCCAAAACTGTGATGCTTGGACGTACTCGGCCTTCAGGGATCCCAGATCGGTTCTCAGGCTCCAAGTCTGGCAGCACAGCCTCTCTGACCATCACGAGCCTG